TTCTCTGGGCCTGGCTTATTTCACTTAATATAATTTTTTCCAAGTCTTTCCATTTCCTAACAAATAGGGCGATGTCATTCTTTCTGATGGAGGCATAGAAATCCATGTTATATATATATATATATATATATATATATATATATATATATATATATATATAGAGCATTGTCTTGATACATTCATCTATTGAGGGACATCTGGGTTGGTTCCATCTTAGCTATCATAAATAATGCTGCAATAAACATAGCTGTGCTGGTAGCTTTAGTATAGCCTTGTTTGTGATCTTTTGGGTAAATGCCCAGAAGTGGGATTGCTGGGTCATAGGGGAGCTCTATGTAGAGTCTTTTGAGGAGCCTCCATACTGCTTTCCAAAGTGGTTGAACAAGTTTACAGTCCCAGAAACAATGCAGTAGGGTTCCCTTTTGGCCACATCCCCTCCAGCATCTGTTGTTATTAGATTTCTTGATTATAGCCATTCTAACTGGGGTGAGGTGAAATCTCAATGTTGTCTTGATTTGCATTTCTTTTATGGCTAGACAAGTTGAGCATTTCTTCATGTGTCTATTGGTCATTCTTACTTCCTCTTCAGAGAAGTCTCTCTTTAAGTCTTTAGCCCACTTATTTATCAGGCCGTTGTTTCTTTGAGTATTTGTTTTGGGGGATTTAATTTTTTCAGTTCTAAGTATATTTTAGATATGAGACCCTTGTCTGTTGTATGGCTAGTGAAGATCTTCTCACAATTCGTAGGTTTTCTATAGATCTTGTTAGCTATATCCCTTGCCATGCAGAAGCTCTACAAGTTCATGCAATCCCATTTGTCCAACTTTTGATTTGTTGTATTTCTGGGTCTTTATTAAGAAAATTTTGGCCTGTGCCAAGGAGCCCTAGAGTTTCTCCTATTCCTACCTGTAATGTATTCAAGGTGTCTGCTTTGACTTCAAAGTCTTTGATCGATTTGGAATTGATTCTGGTGCAGGGTGATATATGGGGATCTAGCTTTAGTTTTCTACTAGCGTTTAACCAATTTTGCCAGCACCATTTACTAAAGAGGCTGTCTTTCTTCCATTCTATTTTTTTTTAGCACCCTTATGGAAGATTAGGTGGCTATAGGTCTTTGGGTTCATTTCTGGGTCTTCACTTCTATTCCGTTGGTCCTCAGGTCTGTTCTTGTGCCAATACCAAACTTTTGATTACTGTGGCTTTGTAGTAGAGACTCTTATCTCCAATAAACCACCAGAAAACCAAAAGTGGCACTGTGGTTCAAGTAGTAGAGCACTCACCTGGAGCTGAGGGCTAGTGCCCAGCCCCAGAATTGAAAACCCACAACCAATAAAAAAAAAAAAAAAAGGTTAACATGTGAGCCTTCTCCAGTAGTGGCACAAGCAGACAGGTATTATTTTTTTAAATACAGCTTTTATTGTAAAGATACTGTGCAGAGGGGTTACAGTTACATGAGCAAGGTAATGAGTCCATTTCCTATGGAGCACTGTTACCCCTTCCTTTGTTTTTCCCTTACCATTCCATTAACAAAATGCTGAAATAAGGATAAAGGACCACCCCTTGTAACAATGAGATGTACAAGACACTATATTGAAAACGAACTTTACAAGTTTGGCGGGGGGGGGGGGGGGAGTTGCAGAGGAAAGGGATGATAGGGAAAAAGACAAGTATTATTTTATACACTTTACATATACAATCTCAAAGACTCAAAGTATATTAAGTATGTTAATTACCTGTTTCGAGGAAGAAAAATTAGTATCATTATCAAATACACTTAAATTTTACATGCTTTAATGAATTTACAAGCATAAACATATACACTGTGGACCTCCAACAGGCATCAAGTTACCAAAAATCTCCCATATTTTCCTTATTTGTCTCACTTTTGTTTTCTTCTTTTAGGTATTTTAAAGCAAACCTCAGTCCTACCATTTCATCTTCATGTCAGTATACATTTCCTAAAAATATAGATTCTTATATAATCACAAAGCTGAGATCAAACACAACAAAATCAAACTATTATTTCTTTGAATCCTCTCAATCACTAATCACATATACCCACTTTTCCCCCAGGTAGTCTTTTTCTATTTACTTTGCTCAAAATGAGATCCACAAAAGATGCACAAAAGCATCTCATTATTTTTTTTAAATTCCTTTCATGTTTTTCTTCCCTATCCTCCCATTATCACAGAAATAAATATCTTGTTTTTGAAAATGAGGCATAATTCCCACTCTATCAAATTTACTTTTAATAAGTGTAAAAATCGGCCAGGCATCAGTGGCTCTGGCCTGTCATTAATCCTAGCTACTTAGGAGACTGAGATCTGAGGATCATGGTTCAAAGCCAACCCGGGCAGAAAACGTCCATGAGACTCTTATCTCCAATTAACCACCAGGGAACTGGAAGTGGTGCTGAAGCTCAAGTGGTAGAGCTCGCACCTTGAGCTGAAGAGCTCAGGGACAGAGCCCAGGTCCAGAGTTCAAGCCTCACGACCAACCAAAAAAAAATTAGGTAAAAAAAATGTAAATATAATCATAAAGCTACATAACTATCACCACTATATAATCCCAATAACTTCCCATCACAGAGGGAAAAAAATCCACTCCCTCAGCAGTGCCTCCTAGCCCCTTCTAGTGTGCTGGCAACTACTAATCTACATTCTATCTCTACAGTTCTTCCTATTCTGGATCTTTCATATAAATGGAATAACTGAAAGCCTATTTTAAGTGATCACTAGTTAGATATCATGGACAGATCCAGGTTAGAGCCAAATATATACATGACAACTTCATGTACATAACAGGTAAGATGAACAGTAATGTCATGTGAATAGTATATTATGAATGCTTTTTAACTTTTTGTTTTCATCTTTTCCCTTGGAAACAATATATACTTCAAGTGATTATCACACATGTGACATACCCCTGGGCTACTTATATATGAAAGAAGTCATTTCTGTTGGCCACAATCTTCACAATGATGAGTGGCTAACCAAAAATGGTGTTTCATCATAGCAATAATGCTGCTGGGTAGGCTCAGGGTTCAAGCTATAACTCCCCACTTACCCTCTTAGGAAAGCATAACAGAATGTAAGACAGAGAATACACTTCTTTTTCTTTCTTTTGAGATATCACTCATACATTGGCACCTTATGAGGAGGTGAGCAGAGATGGTGGTTAAGAATTAGATTCCATAATTGCACATTCTCCACTTTACCACTTACAGATCTGTGTCCTTAGTAAGAGATTTAATCTCTGTCTCCGTTTTTTCCTTACTTCAACATATGACTTCTCTGAAGACTAAACAGGCAGCTCTTTAATCTGCTTATCCCATAACTATCATTAACAAAATAACACAACACCTTGGAGAGGATGGAACAGCATCTATGTAGAGCTTCTAGCCTATGGAGCAGTGACTCCCAGAGAGGAATAGGTAAAGTAGCCAATTCTCCATGCTCTGGCATTGTGACATTTACTTTGAGAACTTGAAAACCAGAGATGAAATCAAATACTTGATCTGCTCCCCTTCAGTTCCAATATCTCAAAGATACCAACATCATCCTTATGAAGATATTTTTGGTCTGAAGGGAAAACGCAGCTGTCTGAAATCTTCCATCATTGGCATTCCTCCATTTAGGGCATACTGATATGTAAAAATGAGTAATACAATAAGGAAAGGAGAGGGGAGGGAGAAAGAGGGGAGGGAAGAAAAAGAGGGAGGGGATGAAGGGGAGGAGGAAGAGGGGAGGGAGAGGGAACAGAGGCGCCAGCCTAGATCCTTTCAAGGTTAACAAGGACCACCTGAAGTCAGCCTACCTTTGTTCTATGCTCCTCTCTCTCTCTCTCTCTCTCCATATTTCTCTCCTATCTTGTATCTCCCTCATTTGTATAATTTGCATTTTTATAATAATTACTCCTATTTCCTTTGCTTGCTGTCAGTGTCATTATAAAACCACTTTTCCTTGCAATAATAGGCTTCAATATCCCTCATTAAAAATTAAGTACAAACAAAGAGCTGTCTTCACAAATGTGTTTCTTGTGTATCATCACCATATAAACAGAAGCTTACTCTTCCTCTCCTCTCGATGCTCACAAATAGCATAAATACTGCTTTTGTTTGTTTTGTTAAAGAACTGCAGTAAAACAACTTTAGAAGGGATACTTCCCATTCAACTTTAGAAAGTAATCCTTCCTAGGATGACACACTAGCTTATACTGAGCCCTGCCACTAAATGCCAAATTACTACCAATTAAAATGAACAGAACAATACATTTAAAAGGAGGGTCATCGGCCAGTGTGTGGACATGCAAAAGTGTGTTTACACAATCATATGCTGTTTTTGAAAAACAGAAACAGAAAAGGTAGAAAGATACTTCAAGTCCTATCAGTGAACCTTAAAGGCTTAAAGCTAGAGAATTCACTTTTTATTTTATATCCCTGTGAACAGTCTAGATTTGTTATAGACCAGCTGAAGAATAATTAAAATCTGTAATTGCTTTATCAGCTACCAAACTTTCTTCATAAACAATTCACCTTCTTGTGTGAATATACACCAATTCACATAAACAGAAAAGAATTAAATTAGAGGGCCTACGTCATTCAAGCAGAATAAATTGCTGTGGAAGGTAAACAGAAACACAGATCATCTGAATTTGGTTGCCCACTTAAAAATTGAACCACAAAATGGTTTTTGAAAAATGAGAGAATATGGGAGAAGGAGGGCAGGGAGAATGACAGAGGAGTTGAATAAATGAGGGGAAATGTTACAAGGAAACCTCCCTTCTTATAACTATTGTATGCTAAAAATGTATGCTAATAAAAAATGAGAGAATGAAAATAACGGAAATAGAAAAGAAGTAACTTTCAGGCTCTTCCTTCAGTAGAAACAAACAGGAAGGTAAAGGAGTCACAAAACAGAAACCCAAGCATCTCCCAGGAAAGTTCTGAAAAAAGGGAAAAAATGAGGTTCACTTTCTGGATAATGATCACCGACTCTTACCTGATCACAAATCAGTTCCCATTTTTTCTCATTGTCATACTGTCGCAGCAACCTGGCTTTGTCAGGAGGTAGGTTCATAGCATTCTGTAAAAAAGAAAAGGAAGAAGAAAAAGATCTATCACATCCACAGTAACTCATAGATAGAATTAATCCTACCAGGCTCCCTTGGCCTTTCAGTTCCTACTATCTGATTCAATTAATGGAGGAGGGAAGCTCCGTAGTTCTACATAGCAACTGAGTGAGAGATGGTCTGTTTGGAATAATAAGACTTGGTAATCCTTCTGCTTCCTCATTTCATGGCAGGCTCCCTTTGGACTCAATGAAAAAATTGAGAGTAGCTGCTCAGAGGTATATCATTCTAAGTTCTTAAAATACTGAAGCCCCAGCAGACAGTTCTAAACACTAAAAGAAACCTCAAGGACCAGAAGCACTGATCCGCTATTACCTGCTTTGATAAATAACCCTGAATAAAAGAACAATTTGTTGTGTTTTTAAAAAAAAAAAAAAAAGATGGTGAAGATGATGTGATTGTTTTCTGACCCCTCTAATTGATGACAGTATTCCTTTAGGACATTTTAATATTAGAAATCTATCTTAATTCTGTAAAGCTAGGTTGGTATATAAGCTTGCCACAAGCCAAGTTAAATACCAGATGTAGATATCAGCATTAATATAAACCCCCTCTTTTGACACAATACATCTTCTGTAGTGTTGTTTGCCCAGGTACATTTGTGTATTATGAGTCCAATGCTACAAACAGCCAGTCACACACACTTCAACAAAGGAAAGGTCTTTGATGACAAAACATAGCAGGTAATGAAAGCTCCCTGCCCCCTCTCAAAAAAAAATCAGATGGTTTCATGCCTCTCCAAAGTTCCCATGCTCTAAACAAGCTAAGTAGCCAATACACACACATTATTTATTATTATCTTATCTATCTCAACCTCAACAGTTCAAATCAATCCTATCCACAAACTACAATGCTTCATGTGAGTAAATATTCAAATAGACAAAAAGTCCTGAGCTTTCTGAGAATAAAACTCTCTTTAGCATGTTTATGATTTCTGTCATAGGAAAAATCAGATTTAGTAGAGACAAGGGTGATTGAACTAGTCTAACTGAATGGCAGAGAACCAAGGCTTGAAGATTTTTATAGATTTAGCCCAAGTATATTCCCTCAAATTCAACATCCATGTCCATATACCTTAAATCTACCTACCACCTACTAACCTGAATCTTACTCATCAGACTTTAACCTGAATCTTACTCATCAAAGACTTTAGAACTCATAACCAGCTACCTTCAATATATTTAACTTTATCCTCAAGCTGACAACAGAATTTGAAGAGTGTGAACTTGAGTAATGTTTTTGTATGGCTTTTTTCTAGGGAATAGCCACTTAAAACTAGAATGGATAATATCTATCTATACTTATTAGTTATTATAATTTAACAAAGTTATTAACCATCACCCTGGGGTAAGACAAAGCTGAACTCCATGAATATCTTTTCTGAGGAGGCCAAAATTATTCACGGTTAAATAACCTAGTCTGTCATTATACCCCAAAGATATTTTCCTCTTTAGACCTTTAGGTTAGTACCCCTGGGTGTGATTACCCAGCAAGTAAAAACATTAAAAATTTAAAATAAGTTAAATGAGTTTTCCCTCCTGTGTCTTTATTACTGTCACAAGATGAATAGAATAAAAATTTATAAGAACAAAAACCAGAGTGCCTAGACTCCTACAATGTGTCTATCACTGTAGTAGGCCTTTGGCATGTTATGTAATCTCACTTTATCTGCCATTTCTAAAACAGATGTACATGCAAGTGAGGACTGCCAAAGGTCTTCTGAAGACACCAACAATTGCAAGGTGACAGTCTCACTGGGCTCTAACACTTCTTATGTGTGCCTCTGTTGTATCTATGGCATTGCCCCCCAATAATGTGCTTGCCCACCCAAATTCCACACTGGAAAGACAATTTTTTTAAAAGTTGTTGCCTTGTTGTCAGTCACCAACCAATGTCTTGCAGGCTTATGGCAGCCAACAGGCATTATATACTTCATTGAATTTAAAAGGCAAACCAACAAACAAAAAAAACCCTAAGTAACTCAGTTATTCTCTTAGCCTGAATTATCTTTAATGATTTGGGGCTTATATTTGAGCTACAAGTCATCTATACACTAAAAAACAGTTCTAAATTTCATAATACATCCTCCTTCAGTGATGATTAGATGGCATACAGAAATTTTCTGCTACATGTGATAAACCACAAAACCTGACTTTTGTTGCCAGTATATTCAGATTGGGATTTTTTAATAGTAATAATTGATCTGCCTCAAAATGGAATTACATTTGTAGTCTCACTTCTGATGTTAGACTTATCTGCATGATTTTACATTGTTTATTAATATGGCCTTTTATTTTATAACCTTGTGAAAAAAGATATAACTACTAAGTAAATAACAGTAAAAATACACAAATTACTGTCATGAAGCAATTAATTAATAGTTAAAAGAGTCTATGATAGTCTATCCATCTGAAGTTTAATTATCACAAACAACAGAGCCGAATGAAAGAGTCTAAGTCATTCAGAAGCAAATACTTCCATGCCGCAGGAATACAGACCTTTGTATCACTCTTGTTCTAGATTCATGACAGTGCTGTGTACATGCAAAGCATCCCTACTTTCCCCTATAATCTCACAGCTCATATTGAGAAGCCCACAGTTAAATGCGGGTACTCAGAAGGGAGTACAATATCAAATACATCTTATGCAATATTCCTTTGTCATTATAATCCCACAATAAATACTCATAGCAATTAAACCAGCAGATATTATAACAGGAACTTTCTATTATATAACTGCCTACTTAGAAACAAAAAAGAATGTGGACTTTGCAGGCAGTATTACTTAAGGGATCAGAGAAAAGCAAGTCTAAGAGAAATAGCTTGGACAATTCTTTAGAGCTCCTAAATAATAAAGATGCAAAAGTTTTACAGAACTCAAAAGAAAAGAGGCATAACTTTAAGGGGAAAAAATTATATGTAGGAGGTAGCAATATGAGGAATGAAGTTTGAAGTCAGCCTAGGCAAAAAGTTAGTGAAACCCTATCTCAAGAAAACAAGCTGGGCTCAGTGATTAACAGCTGTAACCCTAGCTATATGCGAAGCAAAAGTAGGAAAATCACATTCTAAGGCCAGTCCTATGCAAAAAACAGGCCAGTTATCTGAACACTAGCTAAAGTGGAAAGGGTTAAGGGCACAACAAGTGAGAAGTCCTGAATTCAAAACCTTATCACCCACACGTCTTTTAATTGAAGTAGAAAACATAAATTGATACTCTTGACCATTCTCAATGTTTATGTTTGAGTGCTGTCTATATAACTATTGAAATAATTCTCTAGAACTTTATCTTGCAACCTTACAAGCATTAAACAACAAATCCTAGAACCATTACTTTTTTCTATAAGAAAATAAGATGGACTTCTTCCTCCAACACTTGGATGACTGCACAGTAGCAAAATGAATGAGGTTAAGCAGTAGAGAAAGTTAGGAGGTTATTAGGATAAGGCTCTGGAACAGACTAATCTATCTGGATTCTAACCCTAACACTACAACTTGAGCATGATGAAACATACAACTAAACTAAAAAAAGTAAACTAAGTACTCAAAAAGCTAGTGAATGTAGTTAATAACTGAAGGTCAGTATGTTAAGAATCAAAGAAAAGCATCAAAATCAACAAGATATACCCTTTACTGATGATCTCATATGCCTCAAGCTCTTAGGCTCTTTACATGCATTATCCAATTTAATCCACTTATAATCCAAACAATTAAGTTTCCACTAAAGACAAAGGAAGCTATGGGACAAGGAGACTTAGTAGCTTTTCCATTCATGGCAAGCCATGATCAAAACAGATGTCTGGTTACCTTCTCCTGTGACACTGAAGCTTGTAGAATGACTGCCTGAAGCTGACAATTCTACTTCAGTAACTAAAGACATAATCCTTTGCATGTAAAGGTGCAAATGCATGCTAATATTTAGGCTACTTAAATATTCAGAGAAACCACTAGTATTTTAAACAAAGCTTCTGAGCACTTAAAATGTGTGTGTGTATAGATATATGTGTGTATATATATGAGGCCCATGGAAAATGGTGACTGGGTGGGACAGCATGTGACAAAACCAAATCAACAAATATGTTATGAAGTCAAGCTTCAACAAGAACCAGTGAAGCAAGACAGAAGTAAATACAATAACCAGAAGACATTGTATTAAGTAAGAGGACATAATCTCAGGGGAGAATGGGTTACTGGGTATAATGTAAAGCAGGATACTATGGATTGAGCCTGGACTATGGGTAGGCAGCAAGGATAGACAGGCAATGACACAAAGTGGTTTTGAATATTTGGACCCTGAGTAAGTTATTTAAGCTAAATATCAGCTTCAGCTTGCTCCCCTTGTGAAATGGAGATGTTCATGGTGATAGCAATGAGGGTGATGATGGTGGTGAGAAGGATGAGAATGATAATGGTGCTTCCCTGCCTCAAGAGTTTCAACCTATATAGAAAATTCCTCTTCATTCTTCCTTTCACCATATTGGGAGATCAGGTAAATTCACTTTAAAATTGAAACAGATGGGGGCAACAGGATGGTTGCCAACACAGCACATGGCCTACCCTTTGGATCAACTCATGTAAAAGCTATCTCCCTCCATGACCTATATTCATAGGCCAAGAAACTACCTGGCATCTTAAATTTTAATATCTTCGTAACTGAGTGGATACTGCTAAAATATATTCAGCTTCTTTCCTGGCACAGGACTCAGGCAACCAGCCAAATAGCTCCCCAAAGTGAACCACTACGAGCCAGTCATCTTTCCTTTTCACTACTATTTTTATTTAATCATCAAGAGTAATTAATGACATTCAGTGAAGCCAGTGGAGCTTATGAAGGGGGGAGAAATGAGTCTCTCCCTAATCTAGTTACATCTACAAAATAAAATCTGACTGGAAAGTTGTCCTTTCAGTAGAATGAAACATATCTCTAAATCTCCCATTTGCAATCTTAGGTACACTAT